TTAGATAAAGGCAGCACTTTCGGTGAAATACGATCAAATTCGCAAGGCAACAAGGGGACTGAAGTGGACAGTAGGAGTTCAAAACAAGTGGGAGATATTTAGAACAGAAGTTGCAACTGTATGGAGGGATTAAGACCGTCACATTATTGATAGCTGAATGTTTCTTGTCTTGCCAATAAAGTAATCAAACAACATCATATCAACTTGAAATTGCTTTGAAGCACTGAATAGGTTTATTTTAAAGGCAAACTGCCGTATTCTGCTAAATGAATGATCACAAGCGATTTCAAATAACTTTTCGCAAGTTCTAGAGGAAAGCTGAATGAAAAGGTGCGATATCGCCATCAAATCATCCAAATACCTGACAAGCATCGCAAATAACCGGATGATAGACGTGCTCGACACTGGCCATCCTATGCAGTAATGGTAACCACATTAGACATGGTGGACATGGATCTGACATCAAAACGTCCAAAAACATATTCAAATTCACTTTTTGATCCTAAAATGATACATCGTTTCTTAATGATTTCAATTTGTGCCTCCAGAAATAAAACGAATTCTAGTTGTGCTATATTTTTGATGGAGGAATCATAACCAGCTAACAATTCAGAACCAATACAAAGTTAAGATTTGGAGAAAACTCCGACATCGATGACAATGAGCGAACATCATTCAGAGAGGCGTAGAATTGAAACCTTTTGAAAGCACTGTTGCAAAGCAGTTTCAGAGTAACCGAATGTTGGTCCCTCAAACACAGCGGTGGCTAATGATAAAACTTGCTGTAAATAATCACTGAATTTATCCCATTCCATTATACCGGTTGAATCGGAAATTTGTGAGAATACGTCTGAAAATTGATTAATTTTTAGCAGTCTTTTTCTTTTTTGCTGACTGATTAAAGAATCAAGTTGGAAACAAATTGACGATTGTGTAATGCAGATGAATGAATATAATTGGTTTCAGGCAAAATTTTGATGGTTTAAAAGTTTGGTAGCGCTGATAAACGGTTTGGACTATTGGGAGGGAGCAGTCTTGCAAAGGGATTGAATTTTTGTTCATTGGTTGGATGAGTAACTCACATCGAAGTTTGTCAACAAGTTTACCAGCACAAATAGTTGCCAAAGCTATTTTTATTGAAAATACCGTCAATCGTCCGGTTTGTTGCCTGCAGTTATATTATTTTAATCAGTCGCTGGAGCAGTTTATTGAGTGAAACTGAAACTCCCATACTACTATCACTATAAGATCTGATTCTTGACGTGATGATGATATTCTGGTTTCAACTTGACAGTTTGTTATAACCAATTCGATAAAATCATTAACACTATTAAAACAAAATGCTCACAGAAACGCAATGGAATAATTCTGAGCTGCTAATAAAAAAGATATGTTCACACACTGCTTCAACGACCAGCTTCGAATACAGACGAAGAATTAAAATTGTTCATGTTCTTAACATATGCTGGTCAACGAGAACGTAAAAGTTCAAAAAAAAGAGATATCAAATCGAAAGGAATTGACTCTAATTTCAGTCTCATCTTGAA